TGAAAAACACCATAAAACCCATTTGAAACTGTGGATTAACTTTATAGATCCACATCTTGACTATAGTAGTGCCAAAAGTGGCCAAATGCATTTTTCCACTCATAAAAGGGAATCTGTCCAGAACAATATGCTGATTTACATTATTGGAGTCTGACTGCATATTACAAAGCCTTTGCTCCTAAGATTTATCTATTGTTTTAATAATAATTTATTTCAATAATAACAATAATATCACCAAACTGAATAGAAAATAAGAATAACAAAGCAAGCTTATGCAACGTGTGCCAGTTACATCTCCTGAAATGGTTTCTATTTTCCATTGATGCCGGCCATCAGGGGGTGTGGCTAAAAATGAATACCTGCTTTTTGCTTTACTCCAGCAGTCAGACATGTCAGGTTGAATTTTAAATCTAATTTTATTTGTTTACACAGCCATAAAACAAAAAGTACTTGTAAAAGAAATAATTTTGAAACATATTTGAGAAATTTTAACGCCCCATTTTGAAAGGCATGTGGATAAAACACCACATGACCACATAGTTTGGCCATTTCTATAACTGGTACACTGGAAAAAATTGAAATCTAGATCATTTTTTCTTAAAATAAGTGCAATTTTTCTTGGATTGAGGAGGTTAAAATACATTTTGCCAATGGAACAAGACAATTTACATTTTAAATAAGAAAACACAATTGCATTGTCTTATTTCAAGTGCATTAATTATCTTATTTTAAGAGTAAAAATACTCATTCCTTTGCCAGACTACCTCATTTACGGTCTCAAATAAGGGGAAGTACACTTAATTTAAGACATTTGTACTTATTTCTAGATCATTTTTCTAGTGTACTGGACCTGCTCAAGGGGTTAAAGGAGTGCATTATAGTGGAAGGAAGTTATTTTTTTTTTAAAACACACAAGCTAGGTTGAAGGTGCCCTAATAAGATAAGACCAATGTTTACGTTTCTGTCCCAAATGCAAAACACCTTATGTAAAGGAAAACTAATCATTTAGAGCCCGTTGAAACTGCCATACATACAGGTTGCTTTTCTTCAGCCAACAAATAGCAAGAATATTACATTTGAGGGGAAGATTTTTACAGCACAAAAATGTGTTAAAGTAAAAATAACATTTCAGGAACTTTAGCATTTAAAAACATTTAAAAACACAGAAACATTTAAGCTTACAGACTTGGTTTAAAACCTCTCAAATGATGAATGAAGCAACAGCCAATTTCCTTCCTGAAAATATTTTTAGAAATTATCTTGAACAAGGCTGGGGACTGTAATTTAAAGGGAGAGTTTTAACTTTAAAGATTTGTGGCCATGGTGAATGTTAAAATTACATTTTCAGAGTTGTGGAATAGGTTGGATGTGTAATTCACATCGTTCGTTAGTCTGATTTTAACATAAAAAAATGTAAATACTTATATGATGCACTACATCATCTACATAAGGAGTTAAAAGTTAGATTTAAAAAAACAGCTGATAATCTTGTTTTTTTTTCTTTCTTTTTATGTGTTTGGCTTTAAAATTGGAGACTAAAATAGAAAGTTTGATATAAAAGACGCACTTCAGCGATTTCTTTATTATGATAATTGTTTATAAATTTTTTTCTCACATGCATTACATTTTTATATTTCTATTTTGATTTCAATTCTTAGGGCTGCCTGTTATTTCTCATGCTGTCTTTAACAGCAGGTGCCTTTTGTGTGTAACAGCTCCCCCTTCTGGTCAGGGTTTAGAAAGACTGTAAGGCTCTTATGACAAATAGTAAGATTTTGTTTAAATTCTTTTAAAGATACCGGTAGCTCATATTTTTAAGGAAAAAAAATCTCAAATAGTTGTGAAATCTAAAGAAAATATGAAAATCCTATAAATTGATTGAACCAGAAGATAATAATCCACCACCTGAAAGAAACACTTTACAAGTAAAGCCTGGAAGGGTCGGGGATGCTCTTGTAAAGTTAGTTTGGCAAGTTTACCACTCCTAGAATGGTAAATGAGTGATCCATGTTGTTTGTTTCCCATCTGCTCTTAACTTTCTTCAGATCAGGGCTTGGTTGTTTTTTTTTAGTTCACTAAAAAAGTACTTTCATAGTCAGAGAAGTTGCATTTAAGTGGAGTCCAAGTCTGTAAGGAATTCTAATGTCAATTTAACATAAATGTGAATATGTGGGTAATCTCAATTCATTTTTAATCTAACATGTGGCATCTCTGGTTTTCTAGAAGTGGGCCGGATGGGTTTCCCTTCAGAAAACAAAAATCTGATAATTTTAGCATTTACTTAGGTTGTCTTTGCCCAACAGTTCAGGTTTGTTTGATGGAATTTAAGTGTGAGAAAAATGAAAATCAGTCGGGGGTTTAAACACTGAATCATAGATAAATAAAAATACAAACCTAACATATTGTTAATTTCAAGATTCCCCAGAGCATACCGAAATCAATGGTTCTGATTTTGCCAACCCAATAGTATCAGGATCTCATCTGCCAGTGCTTGAATAAGGCTCTGGTGGTGGACACATGTAGACCTTTTCTCAGACCAATAAGACCACAGATAAATGTCAAAGCATACAAATTTCACAGCGGTGACAGCACCAGGGTGTTTATTTATACATTGCAGCTGAAACATGGTTTGTACACTAGGTAGGTTGGTTTGTGTGACACAGGGTAACATGCACAGCAAGTTTCAAACATTTCCTTCTTATTTGGTGCACAGCAGACATCCTGTGAAATTAACCTTAACTCCTGTTAATCTGGGGCTGAAATTAATAGATGACAAATATTGTATAGGTAATACAAGCCCTGTTTCCTGGAAGGTATTTGCTTTTGATGTGAAAAAGTCCTTGCTTAGAGATTTCTGCAGCGATGGGATGTTTGTTACAGTGTTATTTGCGGTTTTTTTGTGTGTGTGTGTGTGTGTGTGTGGGGGGG